TTGCCACGTGTCCGCGTGGAAACGATCAAAGAATCGAATAGGCTTTTACTGCTCGCGTCACCAATCTTTTGTAGTCGCGCATTTCTCTTTCGAACTATGAATGGATTTTATTTTATTTATTTTTTATTATTTGGGAGAATTCGAGAGCGAAAATTGAAGTAATTTTGAGTAAGGGGGGGATACGTACGTTGTTATGTTTGAGTAGTATGAGTGGTATGTGTCGTTTAATTTCGATGTAGATTTGGCGAAGAAGAAAATTTGTTTGTAAAATTCGTTTGAAAATATTTATATTTCATCCGTTTGAAAAATCTGTTTTAATTAACTTATTAATCACGAAAGTATTGCGTGCACGAGAATTTTTATCCATTGAAAAACGTTTGGAGCGTTTTCTATGGCTCTTTCGAAATATTCATTATGAAGAAGAATGTAAATTCTTCGAAATTTTGAATTTTTTTTTTAATAAACAAGTACACCACATCGTGTTTTGTGTTTTTTACATGCACATGTATGAAAGTTGGATTTTTTTAAGATGAAACTGCGAAATGATATTTTGTGGTGGTTGAAAATTTCAATCATTGTTGCGTCAAATGGAAATAAAGAGAGAAATTCTAAAAATTCATTTATACAAACAATTATTCTCGAGAAGAAGAAAAAATTCACGTAATATAATTAGATTAGGCTGAATTATAAGTTCGTTGCATCATTGTATCACGTTTTTTTGAAAGGAAAAATCTCTTTCTTGAAAATGGGAAATCTTCTTGAATATTATAGACACAGAGCCATAATTCCACAATTTATAAGTAGTTTTCAACGTTTAACTTTCCACCGAGATACAGGGATGGAAAATTTTCTACTGAGTTTTTTTTCCAGAGCTCAAAATTATGCTTAAAAATTAACAAAATTACGTCTATTATTTCTACGTTTTGAAGCATCTCGTTAGTGCATTTTGTTAATTAGAATGGACGTGCAGCGTTCCTAATTTTACCTTGTTATTCGTGAAGATACTTTACATTTAGCTTCAGAGATACTTTACTTTTGCTATGCAGTATATATATATAGGATAATTATAAGAAAAGCATTGTTCCAAAATTTTCCAAAATATTTATAAATCCTCTTTGGAAAAAATATTTAATTGTACTCTCCATTATTCTAAATTTTTTTAACTTTAATTTGTTTTAAAACAAATACAATATTTATAATGAAAATATTACGTTAATTTCAATTAAAACTTGTGACTTTATGTTAAATTAAAAGTATAGATATTACATCTACATGAATATTTTAAAAAAAATATTTTTATTTAGGAAATTATATCTTTTTATCCATTTTTAAATTCACATTGAAAACCTTGATAACACCAGATTTTTATATTTTCAAATATAATAACGTAAAATTTAAAAATCTATTATTAACTTTTATTTATACATCGATAACTATGAAATACGTAATTTGATCGTTCAAAAGACAATGTAAAATTCAATGGTGCACAATGGCCTGTTTAAAATTCTAACCGGTCGTTATCGACATAGCATAAATTTTGCGGTTAATGCCGAGCTGGCTCGCTTTTGGACCCGCCCAAACCACTTATTTGATACAATGCCATACGGTCAGTTAATTATTTCGATTCGAGTATACGTGTCCACGAGCAACACCTCGAAAATCATTTGGATCTTTGCCCGTTGACGAATTAATTCATCGAAACGTTTCAGACGAGAGCGTTTGTGGCAACTAAAGTTCATCGACGAAGCTTGCTTTCTTAAATTGGCAATCTTCTATTTTTCAAAACTTGTCCTTTATTCTTATATCTTCGTTTCAATTTGAGAATAATAATTTATGTATTTTATTTGAATTCAACTTGTACTTTGGAATAAACTTTTATTATTACGTAGATTTGTTTTATCCAAAATTATAATTGTTGGGATAAAATAAGAGAGGGTCAGAAGTTTGTAATTTGATCTTCTATAATTTAAAAACAGTTATTAAGAACATCTATAAATCGAAATATAAATATAAATTCAATTTATTTGCAGCTCAAGTGTTATAATTTTACCTCTATAAGTTGAATTCGGGCCAATCTCCATAAATGTTATATCAAGTTATGATGTCTCTACAACTCGTGGAAGTAATTTCATACGTGTCACAATCTATCAATAATCGATTATTCCATACGTTTCCTTTTCTGAACTGTCACGTGTTTATTGCAATACATAATGAATACATCCACGAACGAATAACTTTCATATCCATTTCTCGATATATTTAAAAACGCGCTTTTAACTAATAAAATTTAATATTTCTCTTTAACTCATTTCTCTCA